ATCTTCAGGCTGGTGTTTTCAGCTTCCTGCTTCAAGGAGCCAATAGAATTAGAAGAAACCCAATAGAATTAGACTCTATTCAAGAGAGTCTATTCTATTGGCTTTCAAAAGCCAACCAAATAAAAGGGAGGAGCACAGCCAAGGAAAAGGGGGGAAAAATGGCAGACTGCGTTGTTTGGCGACCCCCGTGAAATGGTCGTTTGACCCCAAATGGGGTCCCGACCCACAGGTTGAGAACCGCTGGTCTATGAACTCTCCCCCTCCCACCCTGGTGGGGTTGCTCACCCTTGAACGAGCGAGCACCACCCTCCCTCCGGGGTCAGAGGTGGGAAAGCCCCAGGTAGGGGGGGGGAACAGCCACAGGTGGGCTGTGGGGAAGGGAGAGGCTGGTCGTGTCCTGCAGAACCGGTCCGGGCAGAAGTGAGGGAGCGTTCAGAGGTGACGTGAACACACCGGCCTCGGCACCTCCGTGTATTTTGGGAACAGGCATGGATCTCATTTCACTGAGTGGGGTCCCTAATTCGCCATTTTTCCTAACCTAGTCAGGCCTTCCTTTCTTCCTCCTCCTCCCTCTATTCTTCCTCTTTCGTTCTCCTTCCTCTCTTCCCTTCTCCCTTCCTTCCTTCTCCATTTTTCCTTCCTTCCTCCCTTCCCCTCTTTTTTCCTTCCCCCCCATCCCTTCTCACTCCTCCCCCTCCCTCATCTCCTTCCTCCCCTTCTGGAACAGAGGGGGCCATTAAGAGCCGAGGTGGCGCAGCAGTTAAGAGTGCAAGTACTGCAGGCCACTTTAGCTGACTGTGTTCAGCAGGTCAACGGTTCAAATCTCACCGGCTCAAGGTTGACTCCGCCTTCCATCCTTCTGGGGTAGGTCAAATGAGGACCCAGATTGTTGGGGGCCATGTAACTATATATATATATATATATATATATATATATATATACATATACATACACACACACACACACAGACACACACACTGCTTACTGGTGTACACCGCTTAGAGCAGCGGTTCTCAACGTTTGTGACGGCGACCCCGTCACACAAACGTGATGTGCATGCGCGGCGCGGCCGCGCATGGGGGCGGCCCCCCGCGCGCGGCACGCATGCGCGGCGGGGCCCCGGGAGGCGCGGCGCCGCCCCCACGCGCGGCGGGCGTGCGCGGCATCGCCCCCCCGGAGGCGCGGCACCCCCCGGAGGGAACAAAATGGCAGATCGCCACGTTTGGCGACCCCACAAAAGAGGTCGATCGACCCCAAATGGGGTCGCGACCCATAGGTTGAGAACCGCTGGCTTAGAGAGTGCTTGCACTTAAAGCGGTATATAAGTCTCATAAATAAATAAATAAATAAGATGCGGCAGGCAGCCCTCTCCCCCCCAGTTCCCAATACCACCCTAGCAGACCCTGAAACCGCCACTCGGAGACCTTCCCCAGCTGCAGCTAAAGCACCCAGGAAAGCTGTCTTGGCTGGGTGAGGACCGGTCCCTCCCCACCTGAAGGGGGCCTAAAGGAGCTGGGTAGAGCTCAACCACCCACCCCGTCCTCTTTAGGCACCAGGCCAGGCGGCGTCTTGGGCCCAAATTGTCCTGGAAGAGCAGCCCAAGAGAGGACTACGGGCGGCCTCCGTTGTGGGTCCGTCCCTGGGTCCAGGAAGTTGGATGGAGACGGCTCGCTTCCCTCTCACCTGCCCTGCTCTTGGGGGGGCCTCCCCCCCTTCCAGGTGGGTGGAGGAGGCTCACCTGGACTTGTCAGGCTTCACCCTTTGGTCTCAGCTCTTGTTCATGCGATGGGGAGGCGGAGGGTGGGGGGGGGGGTAGAGAGAGAGGAGCCAGCTGAACCCCCAAAACTGTCCCCCCTTGATGGGCAGGTATGTGGGAACACACGCCTCCCGGATGCCGAGAGAAAATACAACAACACCCTTGCCGATTGCAAGACTTTCACCTTTTTATTCCAGGTTCTTTTTCTTTTTTTAAATTTTTTTTTCCTATAAAAACTCCTCCATAAATTCCACAAATGTAACAAAAAGGGGGGGAAAAAAAAGAAGCTTAAAGAGTCAGGACAACAAAACAAAACAAAGAGAGAGAGATCACAATCCCCATAACTTATTACAAACATTTTCCCTCCCCACCCCTGACTTTTTTTTCTCCCCCACCCCCACCCCAAGGTTTTTGCAGGACAGGTGAGTCGCCCCCACCCCCGACACCTGATCAAACACCTGCCTGAAGGGCTTGACGGACAGGCTGGCTTAATACCTTCGCTTCGGCGAGTGTGAAGCTTCCCAATACTTGCCTTAAGGGCTGGTTGGCTTTAAGGGGGGCAAAGTGCCCCCCACCTCTTTGTTCTCAAGGCCAGGCGCCCCCCCCACCTCCAGGCACGGGGGGGGGGGAAGAGCCTCAGATAGGACAGGTGTGTGGGGGAACTGACGCTGGCCACAAAAAGGAAACACACACACTTGCACAAAAATAAGAGATGCTGAATTGTAATTACCTACCGTTTTGAGGGGTCTGCTCAAAGGAAGGAGGCGGGAAAGACCCTCCCTATATAGGAGGAGGGAAGGGGCTACGGATCTCACCAGACTGGAAGATTGGAAAGCCCCCTTGCCCCAAAAGGATGTTCTCCCCCCCCCAAAAGGAAATGCAGTGCAAAACCGAGAGTGCACGGTGCTAGATTTGTTCTCCAAAAAATACCTTTTTTTTTTACTTTCCAAAAAAAAAGGGGGGGGGAGAAACACCCCTGAAATGGCACATCTGATCGAAACTGAAAAATCCTGGGCAGGCTGGGGGGGGGGATTCTGGAAGTTGGAAGCCCCCCCCCCAGCTCTTCCACGTTGGGAAGGCTGGACACCCTTCCAATTTAGCAGACCTCCTGCTCTGCTAAAATATGGGGGTGCTGCCAAAGCTTTCACGCTGGGCACAGACTGGGGAGCGGGTGAGGAGGACCCTCGTGTTTGGGGAGAGCGTCGGTGGGTCAGAGAGGGGTGGGCTTCTGACCCGCATCCCTTACGTTGAGGGGTTGACTTCAGAGTCCCACAAAAACCGCACCTCAGAGGAGAGGGCAACACGGGACCCCCCCTTTTCGAGCCCATGGCAGCCCTCCACGTGTCTGGAGATGGGGTGGGTGGGGAGGGGGCCCAGCTACACACACACACACACACATACACACACATGAGGTCTATAAATCTTTCTGGGCCAAAGGGAAACCGAGGCAGGAAAGCCGACCCGGGGGGGGGGGCTTGTGAAATGCGGACCAATTTCTAAAAGCTTTGCTGCTGCTTCCGCTGCGGGAATTATTTGATTTTCTGTCAATTATTTATTCCGGCGACTGGCAAAAGGGTTAGGCTGGCCGAGGCAGGTTGGCGTGACTGGGATCGCCAAGGTCGGTGGTGGTGGTGGAGACACAAAGCCAAAAGGCCGCCCTGGCTTTCGAAAGGACACGCGGGGGCCGTGGGCCAGATCTTCAGGAGGAGCCCACCCCCCCAATGAAATGCCCCCAATGCTTTTGAGTTGTGCGCCCACCCCCCCCCCTGGATTCAACCACTGCAAGCACAGAGGGTTTGCGTTGCTTCACTTGGTGGCCTCCAGACCAGACAAAACCAGCAGGGGAAATGAATGGCTTACATGGGCAGTCCCCAGACGCGGCAACTTTTACGACGTGTGGACTTCAACGCCCACAATTCCCCCCTCCCCCCTCCCCCAGCCAGCCATGGCTGGCTGGGGGGGGGGAATTGTGAGCGTTGAAGTCCACACGTCCGTAAAAGTTGCCGTGTTTGGTGGAATCTCCCCTGGCCAGGATACGGAAGTTGCCAGCCCACTCTCTCCATGCTCAACCAGGTCTGGAATGAATATCTGACCCAAAACCGTACAATGTCTGACACAAGGTGGTGTAAAAGAGGGAGAACCGCCGAGGCTTCCCACCCCTGCAAATTTAAGAGAAAAAAAACAAACAAGGAAAGCAGAACAGAAGCAAGAAAAAAAACCAAAAACCCCAGAACAAACGCAGTGCTGGGATTTCCAAAACTCCCTAGTCGAACAGTTGCCTCCCTTCCGAGATTTGACCAACATCTAGAGCAGTGGTTCTCCACCTGGGGGTCGGGACCCCATTTGGGGTCGAACGACCATTTCACGGGGGTTCGCCAAACAAGGCTGTCCGCCATTTTCCCCCCTTTTCTTTGGCCACGCCCCTGGCACCCGGTGATGTATAAGTGGTTGGGGGTCACCACAACATGGGGAAGTGTATTATGGGGTCGCGGCATTGGAAAGGTTGAGAACCGCTGATCTAGAGGACGGGACAACTTAGAAATACAGCCCAGGTTTATAAGACCATCTGCTCAACTTCCACGGCCCCCCGCTTCCGATGTGTTCCTCCCCTGGAAAGCACTTGCCGACCAAAAAGACAATTAAAAAAAAAAAAAAGTGGTTTTCCAACCGTTTTCCCCAGCGACTCAATTAACCTTCGGCAACCCCAACTTTGGTGGGAAAAAAAAAACTCTGATTTCCTCGTCTTACGGAAGGGACACAGCCTGGCGGACGTTGTCAGCCGAGCATCGGACGGCAGGAAGCTGGCGCTAGAAGCAGAAAAGCTCCCTTGCTCCGGAGAAAACGCACAAGACGATCACGGCACACCCACGCCAACACAAACACAGCCGCGCCTAAGTAAGGGAGAGTCTACCGTGGAAAGGGCTCTCCGGAGACCCAGCTGCCGTTCTTTGGGGCTGCTGTCCCATCACAAAACGTCCAGCTTTTGGGGGAGCAAGTTGGGGTGGTGGTAAGGGGACCTAAATGACACCCCCCCCACACACAAACACAAACACTGACCTAGAAGCCCGGCCTTTAGGGAAGGGTGGGATGCAGGCCTCTTTCTCCAAAACCAGCTATCCAAAGGCCGTTACTCCAGCGGAGAAGACCCCCTCCCCTTTACGGCAGGGACGCCAGAGCATTCATTCAAGAGGACCCTTCCCATCTTCACCCCCCCCCAGCCCTTTCAACACCCCCCCCTCCCCAGCCAAGTGCCAGGGCCCCAGCCCTCTGCAAGCCCAGGGACCCACTCTTTTGACTTCAAAACCATAAAATGGGAGACTGGGGGCAGGAGGGGGGGAGAGGAGGAAGGAAAAAACCCCCCAAAAAACAGCCCTTGGCTTTGGGAAAGACCCATCTCGGAAGCAGATCCGGCCGGGGAGGCTAGCCCCAGCGGTAGCAGAGCGTGGCGGCTCCGTGAGAACCCCACTTGAGAAAAAGACAGCTGTGCCCCTCGCCCGACAGTGGGTTTCCTGCCCGTTTGGCACTGCCCAGGCTTTGGTCCACCGGCCCAAACTGGGCTGTCTCCACCTGGCTGGAGACGTCGCCAAAGGTCAGAGCGGCTGACAGACAACCTGACATTTCAAACATTGTAAACAACGATTCTCGGTACACACAGACACGCACACGCAAGACAACAAACAAAATCGTTTGTTTTTTTAAAAAAAGGGGTCGCCTCGAACAGGGATCAAGGTCAACGTGACCCTCACTCAGATCCAGCTTATTGCCACGTCAGTCTTTCAGGGAAGCTACGGGAAGGAGGATCCGGAAGCGGGGAGGAAGCGTCATCTCCAGCAGGCATGGAGAGAATCACACGAAATTCTTTGCCATCCACGTCGCGTCTCTAAATGCTAAAAGGGGGGGGGGAGAGAAGGGAAAGGACGCCCGTCGTACGTCTTACGTTCATATTATTTAGGGCTTTGCTTTGCCTTGAAATGCCGCCGAGGCGAGCCAAGCGAGGAATATTTTACAAATATTCCCCAGGAGTTGTCCAAAGAGATCCGAGTCTCGGGAATCGCAAAAGTAGGGAGAGAGAGAGAGAGAAAGAAAAAAAAAAAACACGTTTCCATAGGACCGAGCGCCTCTTTCGCTCCAAACTGGTTGCGTGGGAACCCGGAGCAGATGAGCTTTCTTGGAACCAAAACACAGGAGGGGCGATTTTGGCAAATACAAAAATAAAATAAAAATAAAAAAGCTCCTCGAACACTGCTGGCAAATTGAAACAAACAAACAAAACAAACCGACAAACGGCAGCACACCGAGGGGTCCGTCACTCGGCAGAAAAAAGGCCGCGGGCGCCTTTGGGACGCCCTCCCCGCTGCTTCTAAAACTCTAAAAATCGCCCTTTTGAACAAACCGACAGAAGACAGCGCAAAAGCCCCATTTCAGCCTATTCCTTTACAAAAAAAAAACCTTTAAAAAAAGCCTTAACCTGCCCCCCCATTTTGAGACCAGATTCGGCATTTTCTCTTTTCTTTTTACACCGTAAATACATATAGGTACATACGTACAGACACCGACCGGTGACCTGCAGGTATGCGTGGAAAACGGACACAGCATACAATACGGTAGTCCTTACGGTCCGACCCAATCAAACACTGGAAAAGGACCGGGAGCCGGAACCGAGAACCGGAACCGAAAAACGCCGGGGAAGCATCTTCCGCAGCACAAGTGTCAGAAATCCCGCCGAACCACCTTGACGTGCCAGAAATGCACCCACCCCACCCCCTTCCGAGACACGGCACGGGCATTTGGCAGGTGGCAAAACTGTCCCCTGGCAGAGGGGTGGGGGGAGGGAAAGCCTCCGCCCCCCCCGATACGGCTCGGCTGCCGGAAGCCTTCGGCGGCTGCGGCGGGCAGGTGGTGGCACAGGGCGATGGCACAGTCTCAGACACACAAACGCGCAGCCCCGTGGAAGAGGCTGCAGGTCCAACGGAAATAAGCGCTGCGTCCGTTCCAGGCGCGCGTCTTCCCCCCCCTCCAAGTGTATTCCTTAAAGACGAGCCGAAGCCCCCCCCCCCCCGCCGAAGACTCTCTTGCTCTCCAACGAGGCTGGAACGAGAAGACGGAGGCCAACGTAGTCTGGGGATCAAATCCGGCATCGAGTCCTGTTTTCGCTCAAAGGGGTTCGGTGCAAAAAGGGGGGGGGAAAGCTGGGGGGAGGACGGCGGCCAGAGGCGAGCGCTCAGCTGAAGCCCAAAAGGAGAAACCGAGTCATGGAGGGGCGTCGACGTCGGCAGCGTCGACAGCAGCAGCAGCAGCAGCAGCGAGGGTGTTCCTAGCGCGTGGCCGGTTCCCTAAGGCAGTGCGCTCTGGGGCGAAACGGGAGAGTAAGGCAGCGGCCGCAGTTCGGGGAGGGGGGGTGGGTGCCCCCTCTCCTAACCCCAGAGAGGCAGGGGGTGCCGGTTCCCCAAAGAGAAGCGGGTGGGTTCTGCTCCCGGGGCCGAGGGTCACGTGGCCACCGCCTCCAGGTAGCTCTGCAGCTTGCGGACGGTGGTCTCGTCCAGGGAGAAGAGGTCGAAGTCGAACGTGGTGTTGGTGACGTTGAAGTGGCCCGTCTCCTCGATCAGGTTGACGATCTGGGACAGAGGGGGAGGGGAGGGTTAGGGTTAAGGCCCCGCCCCCACCCCCGACGGGCACGCCCCCGATTTGCCCCCCCCCTTCGCTTAGGGACCCGGGCGAAGATAACACGGCACGGGGAGAGGTTGTTTGGGGACTGTTATTTCCACACTTGGGATTGTGGGGGGGGGGGAAGGGATGCCCTCTGAAGGAAGGAAGAAAGGAAGGAAGGAAGGAAGGGAAAGGAGAAGAGAGGAGAGGAAAGGAAGGGAACGGAAAGGAAAGAAAGAAGAGGAAGGGAAAGAAAGGAGATGAAAGGAAAGAAAGAAGAGGAAGGGAAAGAAAGGAAAGAAAAGGAAAGGAGAGGAAAGGAAAGAAAGAAGAGGAAGGGAAAGAAAGGAAAGGGAAAGGAAGGGAAAGGACAGGAAGGGAAAGGAAAGAAAGAAGAGGAAGGGAAAGAAAGGAAAGGGAAAGGAAGGGAAAGAAAGGAAAGAAAAGGAAAGGAAAGAAAGAAGAGGAAGGGAACAAGAGGAAAGGAAGGGAAAGGAAAGAAAGAAGAGGAAGGGAAAGAAAGGAAAGAAAAGGAAAGGAAAGAAAGAAGAAAGGAAAGGAAAGGAAAGAAGAGGAAGGGAAAGAAAGGAGAGGAGAGGAGAGGAAAGGAGAGCTAAGGTGCAGTGGTTAGGATGCAGGATTGCAGGCTGACTCTGCCCACTGCCAGGAGTTCGATCCTGACCGTCTCAAAGTCGACTCAGCCTTCCGTCCTTCCGAGTCAGTCAAATGAGGACCCAGACTGTTGGGGGCAAGGAGGCCGACACTGTAAACCGCTTAGAGAGGGCGGTGAAAGCGCTGTGAAGCGGGATATAAGTCTTAAGTGCTACGGCTATTGCTAAACGATTTGCGGCGTCCATCTTACCACTGCGCCACCAGGGCTTTGCTTTTGGCCTGCTGCCTGCAACCTTTGGGCCAGGCAATTCTAAAAATGTATTCCCCCCCCCCTCCTCTGATTGACAGGAGTCTGTCACTTCAAGAAGCCCGGGTAGGATCCTGGCCTCCCTCATCACCCCAGACCCGCTTCTCACCTGCTGTAGCACGTTACGTTCTCGTAGAGCCATCAGCCGCCGGTGAAGCTCCACCAACTCATCCGTGTAGGCCTGGGGGGGGGAGGGGGGAGGAAGAGAAGACCAATTAGGAGGCTTTAACTGGGGGGGGGGTGTCCCTTGGTGATCTCTCAGCTTGATTTCTGGCAGACGTTTCATCAGCCGAGCCAGGTGACGTCATCACTCCTAACCTGATGAGGTTACCTAGTTGGGTCATGAAACATCTGCAAGAAAAGCACTAAGCTCAGAGGGCAACAAGGACCCCTCACAGTTCGACCCTGAGCCACAATATTCTCTTTTATTGGCTCCACCTGCTTCGGTCCCATGGCTTTTGTGAAATGAGGGCAAGGCCCAAATTTGACAAGGACAGCCTCTGGTATTGGGTTGGAGAACGGAATGGAACGGAATGGAACAGAATAGAATAAAATAGAGAATAGAACAGAGAATACAATAATGGAATAGAGAATAGAACAGAGAATAGAAAATAGAATAGAGAATAGAATAATAGAACAGAACACAGAATAAATAGAATAAAGAATACAGAATAGAATAGAACATAGAATAGAATAATAGAATAGAGAATAGTACAGAGAATAGAATAGAGAATAGAATAGAATAAATGGAATAGAATAATAAAATAGAATAGATAATAGAAAAAAGAATAGAACAGAGAATACAATAATAGAGAATAGAAAATAGAATAGAAAATAGAATAGAATGGAGAATAATAGAATAGAAGAAAGAGTACAGAATAGAATAGAACATAGAATAGAAAATAGAATAAGGAACAGAGAATAGAATAGAATAATAGAGAATAGAACAGAAAATAGAATAAACAATAAAACAGAGAATAGAATAAACAATAGAACAAAGAATAGAATAAATAGAGAATAGAATAAATGGAATAGAATAATAGAATAGAATAGATAATAAAGAATAGAACAGAGAATAGAATGAATGGAGAATAGAATAAATGGAATAGAACAGAATAATAGAATAGAGAATAATTGAACAGAATAGAGAGCAGAACAGAGAATAGAATAGAGAATGGAATAGAATAGAGAATATAATAATAGTAGTAGTAATAATAATAATAATAATAATAATAACAACAACAAGAAGTAGTTGGAAGGGACCTTGGAGGTCATGTAGTCCATCTCTGTTCTAATTGAATAGAACAGAGAATAGAATAATTAATGGCATAGAACAGAATTAAAATAGAACAGAACAGAATAGCAGAGTTGGAAGGGACCTTGGAGGTCATCTAGTCCAACCCCCTGCTCAGGTAAGGAGACCCTCTACCATTCCAGACAAACGGCTGTCCAGTCTCTCCTTAAAAAGCCTCCAATAGGGCGACTGCTGGGGTGGGGAAGGCCCCAGACCGGAAACCGGGAGACGGGGAGTTCCAGTCCCGCCTCCTTAGGCCCAAAGCCCGCCAGGGGATTCTGGGCCTTCACCCCCTCGGAGCCCCCCAGACAGGAGAAGGGCTAAACCACTTCTGAAAAACGTGGCCAGGAAAACGGGACAGACTTACCCAAACACGAAATTTATATTGCTAAGTAAAACATTTGCTCAAGGGAGTTTTGGGCCACTTCACGGCCTTTCCTTGCCACCGTCGTTAAGCGAATCCTTGCGGTCGTTAAGTCAGGAACCCGGTGGCGAAGCGAATTCGGCTTCCCCGTTTTTGACTTGGCTCGCCAGAAGATCGCAAAAGGGGATCACAGAGGACACGGCGACCGTCGTAGCTACGAACCGGTTGCCGAGCATTTGAATTTTGATCACGTGACCGTGGGGAGGCGGCTGCCATGGTCGTTAAGTGTGAAAACGGGGGCGGAGGGCAGATAAGTCCCTTTTTTCAGGGTCGTTGTAAATTCGAACAGTCACTAAATGAACTGTTGTTAAGTCAAGAATTAGCACCCGAAAAGATTTAACAATATTTCTTTTTTTTCTCATCTCCTGCCTTTACAGGCAGTCCTCAATTTACGACCGTTCGATTAAGGACCGAAATTGTAACGGCGCTGGGGAAAAAAAAAGTGAATTATGACCGTCTCTCGCACTCACGGCCACCAGCGCAGAGTCCCTGAGGTCGCGGGATCAAAATTTGGGGGCACCGGCAACCAGCGTATACTTAGGATGGTTGCAGTGGCGAAGTGTCTGTGTGTCTCTGTTTGTGTGTGTGTGAGACATGATCATTCCAAGCCAGCGGTTCTCAACCTGTGGGTGGGGACCCCATTTGGGGTCAAACGACCATTTCACGGGGGTCGCCAAACAACACAGTCCGCCATTTTTTTCCCCTTTCCCTTACTTGTGCTACTCCCTTTTATTCTGTTGGCTTGTGAAAGCCAATAGAAGAGACTCTCTTGAATAGAGTCTAATTCTATTGGCTTTCCAAAGCCAATAGGAATTGTCCAGGCTGTCTCTGCCCTGCTGAGCCCGCCAAAAGTCCCATTCTGCAAACGGGGCTGCACCCGTTGAGTAGTCCTCGATTTACGACCGGTTGAGTAGTCCTCGACTTACGACCGGTTGGGGGTCGCGGCATTAAAAAGGTTGAGAACCACTGCTCTAAGCAAAGTCAATAGGGAAGGACTCAGATCCACTTAATGAACGTGCGATTCGTTTAACGGCCACGCAGTGTTCCGAACAGGCGTGGCTAAAAAAAGTTGGGCACGATTCGCTTTAACGACGTAGCAAGAGAAGTCCAAGGGTGGTCGTTAATTCGAGGACTACCTGTGAGTTCTCAGGCTGACGACGACCGGTTCCCCCTTTTTCCCCGCCCGCGGCACGAAGTCACCGGTGTGCCCCGTGGCGGAAAGGGGAGACCCTGCGTGGGTCAAACCCACCCACCCTGCTGGGAGGCTGACTGGCGGGGTCAGCAGCCAATTGGCATCAGGCAGCTGCCTCAGGACGGCCTCCAGGAAGAGGCTGGTAGGTTAACAGAATTTTGACTCAGAGCCCCCTCCAAGACAAAGGACCCCCCCAATAATCCCAGAGCCCCCGTCGGGCGGAGATACCTTGTCGTACGTCCCTTTTTTCAAGATTTTCTCCGGTTTATTGCAAGTCTCCGGACTTTTCCTCCCGGATAACTGAAAGCCAGTAGAGACAAAAAAAAATAAATCAGAAAAACCCAGAAACATTTCGTTTCCCAACTCCCCTGTGCAGAATACGACGGCAGCCCAGAATCTCCACGAATCAGCCAGAAAAGTTTTTAAGAGAGTCGTGTGTTTGTGTGTGTGTCCCATTTTACCACTTCCCTTTGTCGCAGTTTAAGGTCATTAAGTGAACCATGCGGTCGTTAAGCGGATCTGGCTCCCCCCCACTGAATTTGCTCGCAAAAGGGGATCACGCGGCTCCCCCCGGGGATGCTGCGACCGTCACAAGTACGAGTCATTTGCCAAGCGTCTGAAATTTGATCACTGTGACCCTGAGGTGGCTGCAACCGTCGTTAAGTGTGACAACTGGTCAAAAGTCGACTTTTTTCAAGGCCGCTGTGACTTCAAACCGTCACTAAACGAATGGCAGTAGCTCAAGGACTATCTGTACTCCTCCTTAGCCCTGACAGTCAGCCGCATCCTGCTGTTCTGCTCTCCTGGGAGATTGTCAGAGCGTGCAGTCTTATTGCGCGAGATAATCCAGGAGTAAACACAGTAAACACTGGTCTGTATTAAATAGTGGTTTATCTTACACTACCTACAATACACATTAACCAGGAACAATATAGATACACGTTCTAATAAGCAGGATCCAACAAATCACAATTACATCAGGAAATGGAAGAGAGAGAACACATCAGTGGAGTCCTCCCTTTTATACAGAGGCTCTTAAAGGGACACAGACCCTGCGGAGTCATTCCCATTATTACATCTTACATTACATAAGCTGGTTAACTCTTAAATATTACCTTGACAAGGATTAAAAAAATTGGTCAGGAATGAAGACAACCCCCCCCCCATTGCTCCCACCACACAAAAAGCTGTGCAGGTAGTCCTTGATTTACAAGTTTGTTTAGTGACCGTTCAAAGTTATTAACGGCACTGAAAAAAATTGACTTACAACCCTTTTTCACACGTGAACTTTGCTGCAGGATCCCTCAAAATTCAGACGCCTGGCAATTGGCTCCTAGTTAAGGGAAGCCAGATTCACTTAACGACCGTGTGGCTCACCTAACAACCGCGGGGATTCACTTAACGGTGATAAGAAAGGTTTTGAAAGAGAGCGAAACTCACTCAACAAATTTCTGACTTAGCAGCCTAAATTCTGGGATCACAATTGAGGACAACCTGTATCGCAACATCCCAGGTGCTGGGCCAAGCAAAGTCTTCCCCTGGAAGATGCCCACCAACCGTCCCTTGGATTCCGCTGTGGCCGATCCTGTGTGTTCTGGCAGTCACCCCTACCCTGATGCCTCGGTGGGGTCTGCTAAGCTTGACCCCTTGAGGGGGCCTTCTGGCGGGTCTACAACACCACTCGCCACGGCCCACTGGCTGCGGGCAACCTGGCAGCGGGACAGCTGGGACAATCCACGTGAGGCAACCCAGCGGAATTGAGGCCACCGGCCACCGTTTCTTGCACCTTATTTCCATTTGGGTCCATGGAAACGACGTCCAAGAAACGGTGACAGGTGATATTGATCGTGCCGAGGTATCCCATGTCTGGAATTATCCTGCGGCAAGTTGGCCAGGGCAAATGGGCCACGCTGGGTTGGCCGTAAGATGGCCAGGGGGAGATGGCCACGGGGGAGATGGCCACGGCAGGTTGGCTGCAGAGAGATGGCCGCAACAAAATGGCCACGGCGAGATGGCCACACTGGGTTGCCCATAACAAGACGGCCACGCGAGCAGGCTGCAGGGAGATGGCCACGGCGAGATGGCCACACCGGGTTGCCCATGAGAAGATGGCCACGTGAGCAGGCTGCGAAGAGATGGCCACAACGAAATGGCCATGGCGAGATGGCCACACCGGGTTGCCCAAAACAAGACGGCCACGAGAGCAGGCTGCGGGGAGATGGCCACAGCACGTTGGCTGCAGGGAGAACGGCACAACGCTAAGGCCGTGGCAAGATGGCGACGGGGAGTGGACTCCGGTGAGATGGTCACGACCAAATGGCCACAGGGAGGTGGCTGCAGCGAGTTGCCCCATTCTGTTTCTAGCTGGGGAAGACCCCCCCCCTAATCTTTGGGCTGGCCCGGTTCCAGGGAGCAGCAGAGTGGACTCCCCCCCTTCCCACATGAATTCAGTTCCACAAAGAAGTCAGGAGGGGCTGGGTGTTCCCGATCCAGGTTGCTTTTCATGCACTCCACGTTCCGACGAGCCCCTTCCCCTATCTGGGCAAAGGGGAGGGGTGCCCTCCTCCACACACACACACACCCTCCTTGTGGCTCCAGCAGAGGGGCTGAGGCTGGTTCAGAGGGCTGGACGTGGACGCTGACCTTATTGTTAGCTGAGGGGACCTTTTGCCTGGGCGGCGTGTCTCGGCTGGGCAGGCAGGAGTCCCCACTGTTGTCGGTGTCGCTGTCGCTGTGGCTGAGTCTGAAAAAAAGGGAGGGTTGAGAATCAGGGGAGAAGTTGGGGTGGGGACAGACAGAGCCCACCCCCCCCCCCCAAGTAGGAAGGCAGGCAGAGGTTAGGAAAGGCCCCAGAAACCGCTTCATAAAGGCTTGCAGAGAGGACGGGAGGTGAGCTGGGAGACACACACACACACACACCACACCCCCGCAAAAGAAGGGCATTGGATGCCGTTCACCCTCTCACCTGGCCTCTCTGCTGATGGGGGTGGACTTGACCGCCACTTCCTCTCCAGAAGAACTGTCGTCATCGTCCGATTCTTCCGACTGCAGGTCCTCCACCATGGAACGCAGCGGCCCTGGAGGCAGGAAGCCCAGCCGTTAAAACAAAACAAAACAAAACAAAAATAAGGGGGGGGGGGAACTGGAGAAGAAGTCCCAAAGGGGCTTTTATTTTTTTCAATGAGGCAACTGGACTTCTTTGCTTTTTGTTTTTTTTGTTTTGTTTTGAAGACGTTTTGCTTCTCCTCCCAGAAGCTTCTTCGGCTCTGACCGGATGGTGGGGAAGGGAAGGATTTATACTCCTTGCAGAGAGCTGGTCATTTGCCTTCCTTTAGAGAGGCGTTGAAGCTACTTGGAGATTTATGTGTGTCATTACGGAACTTTCTTATTATTCTTTGAAGACGTTTCGCTTCTCATCCCAGAAGCTTCTTTGGCTCTGACTGGATGGTGGGGAAGGGAAGGATTTATACTGCTTGCAGAGAGATGGTCATTTGCCTTCCTTTAGAGAGTCATTGAGGCCACTTGGAGGTTTATCTCTGTGTCCTCAGGGCGAGTGGTGCAAATGGGGTTGGAGCTTGAACAGTCCCAAGAAGGCTCCACTTCCATTTGCACCCCTCAGGTGACCCTGAGGACACAGGTAAACCTCCAGGTGGCCTCAACGACTCTCTAAAAGGATGCAAATAGAATAGAAAATAGAATAGAATAGAATAGAAATACAGAATAGAATAGAAATATAGAATAGAAATACAGAATAGAATAGAAATATAGAATAGAAATACAGAATAGAATAGAATAGAATATTGAGAATAGAATAGAATAATTATATGACTAGTCCTTTCCACAGTTCCAAGAAGGCTCCACCCCCATTTGTACCCCTCAGGTGACCCTGAGGACACAGGTAAACCTCCAAGTGGCCTCAACGACTCTCCGAAAGAAGGCAAATGACCGGCTGTTTGCCAGGAGTATAAATCCTCCCGTTCTCCACCCTCCAGTCAGAGCTGAAGAAGCCTCTTGGGAGCCAGATGATGTTGTCAGGAGTTCCAAAAAAGGTTCCACACCCACTCAGGTATTTTTGGCAGGCCAAATGGGAACCCCAGTCCAGCCTTATAAGAGTTAACGGCTTGTCTATCCATTTCGTTTTTCTGTTTTTCTCATCCGATTCTCCCCCGGGCTGCTCCTTTTTTCAAAGGGGTCTTTTATTGGGCAGGGGTGACCCGGTTAAGATCTGCAAAGCAGCCTGCAGGTTTGAGGGAGGCAGCAGATCCTCCTCCCACACCTGAGCACAGGCCTCTGCAGACGCCTCCGTGCGGGGAGAGGGCCAGCGGGAAGTGGCTTTGCAGCTAGCCCAGGCCCCCAATTTCTCAGCAGGAGGTACAAATTATTTATTTTAAAAAAGAAAGAAAAAACTTAACCCCAAGGACGAAAGGAGCTAAGCCTCCAGAGGTTGGGGGTGGTGGGGGCATTAGGGACCCATTTGCTCTATTTCCTGTCTTCCCCAATGAGGAAAAAAAAATATGCACTGGGAAACTTGAAAACTGTCCGGGAGAGACGAGGGGATAATAATTCCTCATTTCAGCTCCTTGCCCAAGAGGTCCTGAAGACGCTCACGGCCTCGGACAAGGCAGAGCATCCACAGGATTTGGGACGAGTTGTGGTCTAAGACCGGGGGTGGGGGGGTGGGGTCTCAGCCTGGGCAACTTTAAGGTGGCTGGACTTCAACTCCCAGAATTCTGAGAGCTGAAGTCCACCCATTTAAAATTTAGTTTAATTCTCCGTGCTGGCTTAGGAATTCTGGGAATTGAAGTCCACCTGTCTTAAAGTTGGTTTAATTCCCCATTCTGGCTGGGGAATTCTGGGAGTTGAAGTCCACCCATTTAAAATTTAGTTTGATTCTCCATGCTGGCTTAGGAATTCTGGGAGTTGAAGTCCACCCATTTAAAATTTAGTTTAATTCTCCGTGCTGGCTTAGGAATTCTGGGAATTGAAGTCCACCCATTTAAAATTGTTTATTTCTCCATGCTGGCTTAGGAATTCTGGGAATTGCACCTGTCTTAAAGTTGGTTTAATTCCCCATTCTGGCTGGGGAATTCTGAGAGTTGAAGTCCATCCCTTTAAAATTTAGTTTAATTCTCCATGCTGGCTTAGGAATTCTGGGAATTGAAGTCCACCTGTCTTAAAGTTGGTTTAATTCCCCATTCTGGCTGGGGAATTCTGGGAGTTGAAGTCCATCCATTTAAAATTTAGTTTATTTCTCCGTGCTGGCTGGGGAATTCTGGGAGTTGAAGTCCACCATCTTAAAGTTGGTGTAATTCTCCCTGATGGCTATGGAATTCTGGGAGTTGACGTCCACCCAAGGTTGGGAAATTCTGGCCTAAGCGATCAAGGTCCCCAAGGGCTGCCCAGGCTTAATCCAGGCCTAGGCCTGGGGGTGGGGGGGGGGAAGGGGCAAGCGACCCCAAGCCACGCACCTTGACGGTGGTTCTGAGACGGCTCAAAATCAGAATCGGAGCTGGAGTCGGAGCTGGAGCTGGAGTTGGAAGGACTGGATACGGCAGACTTTGCCACCCCCCAGAAAAGGAACAAGAAGAGAGATGAATGTCATTAAAAGGGGGGAGCCCCCTGCCTCTTCTTTTCATTTCATTCATTCATGGTTAGCTAGCATATTTTCCCATCCACTAGGCTAGTATTGTCTGCTTTAACTCTAGAAGTGACATGCAGGCTAAATAAACATGTTTGCTTCTTCATATATGGCAAGCAAGAACATTCGACGTTAGCAGTCTTGACTCATTCATTCATTCATTCATCCATCCGTCTATGGAGATTCTCCGTCGTCCACGTCACGGTTGTCCCGAAGGTGCTTTTTCAGGACTTTCTGGTTTTCCTTTGAAGACCTTTCACTCCTCATCCAGGAAGCTTCTTCAGTTCTGACTGGATGGTAGAGAAAGGGAAGGATTGATACTCCTTGCAGACTGCTGGTCATTTGCCTTATTTTGGAGAGTCGTTGAGGCCACCTGGAGCTTTGTCTGTGTCCTCAGCGTCACCTGAGGGGTGCAAATGAGTGTGGAGACTCCTTGGAACTGCTGAGGGGACGGTGTGGTGGACTGGAGGTGGATGATGTCCTCAGCAGTTCCAAGAAAGCTCCACACCCACTTGCACCACTCTGGTGACCCCGAGAAACCTCCAAGTGGCCTCAACGACTCTCTCAAAGGAGGCAAATGACCAGCGGTCTGCAAGGAGTATAAATCCTTCCCTTCCCCACCATCCAGTCAGAGCGGAAGAAGCTTCTTGGAGGAGAAGGGAAACATCTTCAAAGAAAAACAAGGAAGTTTCAATTGTCTCCTGAAAAAAGCAACTTTGGGACATTCATTCATTCACTCACTCATCCATTCAATTCCTTCCTTCCTTCCTTCCTTCCTTCCTTCCTTCTTTCCTTCCTTCCTTCCTTCCTCCCCCCCAGCCTTTTGGTCTCCAGAGTTTTCTCCATTCACACGTGTCTTACAAGTAATCCTCATCTTATCACAATCAGGGCCAGAATGCCCGTCGCTAACCAAGGCGGCGGTGAACTGAGTTAAACCCAATTCTTGGACCTTTTGCCCAGTTGCTGAGCAAATCATGGGTTAAGCAAATCAGGTTAAGGCCATTAAGGAGATCTGGCTTCTCCTGGGGACTCTGGCTTGTCGGAAGCCGGCCGGGGATCCCACAACCTCAGAAGGCTGCCACAAATACATGCCGGTTGCCAAGTGATCTAATTTCGATCACACAGACTGTGTGTGTGTGTGTGTGTGTGGTGGGGGAGAATGCTAAGATGGATATAAGTACAAGGACCGGTTATAAGTTGCTTTGTTCAGGGCCGTTGCAGCTGAACTGGCTGCCGGGCGGATGGTCGTTCAGTCGAGGACTCCCTGGGTCCAGCGGCTTTCCAAGAGGACGGGCAGGTTGCCTCTTCTGTCGGAAACTGACTGGGACAATCCCAGAAGTCTCTTAAACCCGCCAGGAGGGGACATTCACAGGGGGGGGGGGAGGAGGGAAGGACACGAACGCAAGAAGGAGCCTTGCCGGAAGCTTCAGCCAGCCCGGGTCGATCCCGGGAACTGAGCGCCTGTTTCCTAAGCAATATACTAGCGCCTGAATGCGACCTAGGCGGTTCTCGACTTACGACCGCAACTGAGCCCAATGTTTCTGTCGTTAAGTGAGACGTCTGTTAAGTGCCTTCTCCCCCCATCCCCATTTTACGACGTGTCTGGCCGCAGCGGTTAAGCAAATCGCTGCAGTTGTTATTAAGTTAGGGACATGATCGCCACACAAATCGGGTCGGAAGGTCGCAAATTGTGAGATCACACGATCCTAGGAGACTGCAACCGTCGTCAAGACCAGGGGTAGGCCGCCTCGGCTCTTTTCTGATGCGTGGACTTCAACTCCCAGAATTCCTGAGCCAGCCATGCTGAGGGGAAAGGGAGAGGTTTCCAAGCTGAGCCAGGCTGGCTCAGGAATTCTGGGAGTTGAAGTCCACGAGTTATGAAGGGGCCATAGTTTCCCTCATGCTGGCTCAGGAATTCTGGGAGTTGAAGTCCACGAGTCATGAGGGGGGCCATAGTTCCCCCATGCTGGCTCAGGAATTCTGGGAGTTGAAGTCCACCAATCATGAAGGGGCCACAGTTCCCCCATGCTGACTCAGGAATTCTGGGAGTTGAAGTCCACGAGTCATGAGGGCGCCATAGTTCCCCCATGCTGGCTGAGGAATTCTGGGAGTTGAAGTCCACGAGTCCTGAGGGGGCCATAGTTCCCCCATGCTGGCTCAGGAATTCTGGGAGTTGAAGTCCACGAGTCCTGAGGGGGCCATAGTTCCCCCCATGCTGGCTCAGGAATTCTGGGAGTTGAAGTCCACGAGTCATGAAGTGGCCATAATTCCCCCATGTTGGCTCAGGAATTCTGGGAGTTGAAGTCCACGAGTCATGAGGGGGCCATAGTTCCCCCATGCTGGCTCAGGAATTCTGGGAGTTGAAGTCCACCAATCATGAAGGGGCCATAGTTCCCCCATGCTGGCTCAGGAATTCTGGGAGTTGAAGTCCACGAGTCATGAAGGGGCCATAGTTCCCCCATGCTGCTGGAATTCTCAGGAATTCATGGGAGGTTGAAGTTCATGAGTCATGAAGGGGCCATAGTTCCCCCATGTTGGCTGAGGAATTCTGGGAGTTGAAGTCCACCAGTCATGAGGGGGCCATAGTTCCCCCATGCTGGCTGAGGAATTCTGGGAGTTGAAGTCCACCAGTCATGAGGGGGCCATAGTTCCCCCATGCTGGCTCAGGAATTCTGGGAGTTGAAGTCCACGAGTCATGAAGTGGCCATAATTCCCCCATGTTGGCTCAGGAATTCTGGGAGTTGAAGTCCACAAGTCATGAGGGGGCCATAGTTCCCCCAGGCTGGCTCAGGAATTCTGGGAGTTGAAGTCCACGAGTCATGAAGTGGCCATAGTTACCCCATGCTGGCTGAGGAATTCTGGGAGTTGAAGTCCACGAGTCATAAAAGAGCCGAGGTTGCCTAACCCTGGTCAAGATGAACCAGCTGCCCGGCGTCTGAATTCTGATCTCATGACCGGGGAGACACCGCAATGCTCGTTAAGTACGTAAAAAGGGTCCTAAGTCGCTTCTTTCAGTGCCGTTGCAGCTTTGAGCGGTCGCTAAACGAACCGTCGTTAAGTCAGGGGTGGCCTGCATTTCTGCAGATAACGGGGGGATGGCTGGGGGGGGGGGAGAAGAGAGGGAACCTCCAATTCAGCTTTACGTTACTTCTGTAACTGCCTGAGCTTCATTCAAGTACGGGCAGTCCTCGCCTTACAGCAGTCCATTTAGTGACCGTTCAGAGTTACAGCGGCACGGGGATAAAGCCGCTCAGGGTCATTTTTCACCCTTACGACCGTTGCAGCAGCATTTCCCCCACCCCACGGTCACAAAACTCAGACAGCGGGCAACTGACTCGTATGTATGACGGTTGCGGGGTGTGTGTGTGTGTGTGTGTGAGACGTGACCGCATTTTATGACCTTCTGACAAGCGAAGTCAAGGGGGGGGGAAAGCCAGATTCGCTTAACGACCGTATGACTAACTTAGCGACGGCAGTGACTTGGTTAACCACGGCAGTAAGATCGTAACTTTTGTCACTTAGCAACAAAAAAAAAAAAATTGCGGGGGGGGGCTCAATTGCGATCATCTGTCAACGCTGCAAATATTGTCTATTCTTGCTTTTGACAATATGCAGAACTGTCTGGTAATTATGGGGTTAATACAGAGCAGAAGGGGGGTGGAGGGTAAAGCCCGGGAAAGAGAGAGGAAGGAAACCTTTGACCTTCACACTAATTGTCAACGCTGCAAATATTGTCTATTCTTGCTTTTGATAATATGCAGAACTGTCTGGTAATTATGGGGTTAATACAGAGCAGAAGGGGGGTGGAGGGTAAAGCCCGGGAAAGAGAGAGGAAGGAAACCTTTGACCTTCACACTAATTGGATAATGTGAGATATGACGGCTAATTTAGGGAGGGAACAGGCTGATAATTGAACTGCTCAGAGGAAGAGAACTTAGATCCTAGCATCCCTCCGTTGTGCCTGTGCCCACATTTTGTAACAATAAAAGACTTTTAGGAAAATCAATGCCCAGAAGTTCTTTGGAACGTTTCATTAGCCGGAACCACTGGTTCGTTGGGTGAGGGTTACCTGCAGGCACGTGGCAAAACCCCAACGGATGGGGGTCCTGCCCTTGCCAGGTGACCGAGTGGGGCAGCCGGCCAGGCCCGGGCGCTCACCTCTGACTTGACCGAGGCCTCGTCCTCCGAGTTGGACTCCTCGGCCACGGTCAGCTCCATGGGCTTCTTGACGGCCTTGGCCTCGCTCTCTGGCTTGGCCTTCTCGGCTTTGGCGCCGGGCAGCTTCTCCTTGGGCGGCTTCTTCTCCGCGTAGGAGGAGGAGGAGGTGGTGGTGGTGGTGTTGGTGGTCCGGTGGGCGTTGGTGGGGAGGGTCTTGGCCCCCTTGGAGCTGTTCTTCTTCGGCTTTTTGCCCGCGGGCTTGGGCGACTCCACCACCAAGGGCCGCTTGGCCGCGGGCTTCCCTTCGGAGGGCGGGGGCGCCCCCCCCTTGGGCGAGGCGTTCTCCAGCTTGTGCTCCTTCAGGGCCAGCTTGGCCTCCTTCAGGACGGCCTTGGGCACCGGCTTCTCCTCCTTCGGCCCTTTGTTCTCGGCCGCCGCGTGCTTCTTGGAGGGCTCCTTGGCGGCCTTGCCGGCTTCCCGCTCCGGGTCCCGCGAGGCGCTTTTGCTCTCCGAGTCTTTCCTGGGCCTCTCCCGGTGCTCCCGGGTGACTTTGTGGGGCTTGGAGAGCTTGCCCCCCTCTTTGCTCACCTCCTAGACACCAGGGGGGGGGGAGGGAAACAACAACCACAGAGTAAACAAGAGTTGGAAGGGACCTTGGAGGTCTTCTAGTCCACCCCCCTGCCGAAGCAGACCCTTCCGCCTCCTGCTCCAAATAACAAGAGTTGGAAGGGACCTTGGAGGCCTTCTAGTCCAGCCCCCTGCCGAAGCAGACCCTTCCTCCTTCTCCTGCTCCAAATAACAAGAGTTGGAAGGGACCTTGGAGGCCATCTAGTCCAGCCCCCTGCTCAGGCGTTGAAACCCTGTACCACTTCAAACAAATGGCTGTCTGGTCTCTTCTTAATAACCTCCAGTGATGGAGCACCCGTAGATTCTGGAGGCAGGTCGTTCCGCTGATTAATTGTTCTGACTGTCAGGAAATTCGTCCTCAGTTCTAGGTTGCTTCTCTCCTTGATGAGTTTCCTTCTTTCCTATCATTTTTCCTTCTTTCCTTCCTATCATTTTTTCCATCTCCTTCCTTCCTTCCTTCCTTCCTTCCTTCCTTCCTTCCTTCCTTCCTTCCTTCCTTCCTTCCTTCCTTCCCTCCCTCCCTCCCTCCCTCCCTGAATCATAGAATCCTAGGGCTGGAAGATACCTCAAAGGTCTTCAAGTCTGACCCCCTGCTCAGGCAGGAGACCCTAGACCAGTGTTTCCCAAACTTGACCATTTTAAGGCATGTGGACTTCAACTCCCAGAATTCCACAGCCAGCATTGCTGGCTGTGGAATTCTGGGAGTTGAAGTCCACATGCCTTAAAATGGTCAAGTTTGGGAAACACTGCCCTAGACCAGCGGTAGGCAAGCTCGGCTCTTTTATGACTCATGGACTTCAACTCCCAGAATTCTGGGAGTTGAAGTCCACGAGTCATAAAAGAGCCGAGCTTGCCTACCCCTGCCCAAGACCATTTCAGACAAATTATTGTCTAATCTTTTCTTTAAAACCTCCAGAGATGGAGCATCCACAACTTCTGGAGGCAAGTCGTTCCACCGGTTAATTCTCCTCACTGTCAACAAATTCCTGCTTAGTTCTAAGTTTTTTCCCTCCTTAATAAGTTTCCATCTGTTGCTTCCTGTCCTGGTTCTTTGGAAGATGGGTTGACACCCCCCCCCCTCTTCTTTGAGGCAGCCCCTGAGATACTGGAAGACTGCCATCGTGTCTCCCCTAGTCCTTCTCTTGGTTAAACTAGACATCCCCAATTCCTGCAAGGGCACAAAATCAGCAGCGGTTCACTTTGGGGACAACACAAAGACTTTGCATGGTCCAAGCGTCGGCTGAACAAGACTTTGCTCTTTGGAAGGACTAAGCCGTTACCTGCCCTTGGCGTGCAGGATGCTGGTTTTTAGGAGTAGCAACCGGAACACCAGATTAGACCGCTGGGAAACATAGCGCGCACCTTGAATTGTCTCACACAGGAGCCTGCCCTGCCTCTGCTTAAATACAGGCTGACTTACGGCTACCATTGAGCCCAAAACTGATGTGGCGAAGCGAGGCAGTGGGGTTAAGTGAGGTCTGTCCCATTTTACGCCCTTTTCTCGTCACAGATGTTAAGCAAGTAAACCTGGCTTCCCCAGTGACTTTGCTCGTCCGAACGTTGCAAAAGGGATCGCATGATCCCCCGGACACTGCGACCGTCGTAAACACGAGTCAGTCGCCAAGCGTCTGAATTCTGATCACGTGAGCCCTGGGGATGTAATAATAATAATAATAATAATGTTGGAAGGTACCTTGGAAGGTCATCTAGTCCAACCCCCTGCTCAGGCAGGAAACCCTACACCATTTCAGACAAATGGCTGTCCAGTGTCTGAGCATTCAGAGTTTCTGGAGGCAGGTAGTTCCAATGGTTAATTGTTCTCACTGTCAGGAAGTTTCTCCTTAGTTCCAGGTTGCTTCTCTCCTTGATGAGTTTCCATCTGTTGCTTCTTGTCCTGCCTTGTCCTGCTTTGGAGAATAGCTTGACTCCCTCTTCTTTGGGGCAGCCCCTGAGATACTGGAAGGCTGCTATCCTGTCCCCCCTCGTCCTTCTCTTCATTAAACTAGACATACCCAATTTCAGCCTCCAGTCCCCTGATCATCTTTGTTGCTCTTCTCTGTACTCTTTCTAGTGTCTCAACATCTTTTTTACACCGCGGTGACCAAACATGGATGCAGGATTCCAAGTGTGGCCTTACCAAGGTATTGTAGAGTGGTATTAATACTTCACGTGATCTTGATTCTATCCCTCTGTTAATGCAGCCCAGCACTGTGTTGGCCTTTTTTGGCAGCTGCAGCACACGGCTGGCTCCTATTTAGGTGATTGTCTACTAGGACTCCGAGATCCCTCTCACAGTTACTACTATTGAGCAAGGTACCCCCTATACTATACCTGTATAGTTTAGTAAGTGTGTGAAGTGTGAAAAATGGTCCTGTCGCGTTTTGCAGTGCTGGTGTCACTTTGGTCACTAAACAAACGGTTATAAGTCAAGGACTACCTTTGGAAAGAAAGAGACGCCAAATCCTGCTAAACTCACATTTGTTGAAAGACTACAACTGTTAAGAAATTCGGGCCAACTATTTCATTCTGCACTTTGGAACAAGAGAAAAAAAGTCGGACCTGTTTTCCACATCAGGACTTTTTAATTCCCAGAAAACAGCCACTGTGGTTTTCTCCTATTTTCTATTTCCCACGGGAAAACAACCACTTTCATTCCCCACTAAAGCAGTTTTCCAAACTCTTTGTCTTTGGGATATTATGCAATTACCTAGCGTCAATTAGGAGCTATTTCGAGAATTAACCGTGCCGAGGTTTTGTGGTGTCTTAAGGATAGTCATTTCCAATGGGCTTTCTTTCCTGAAAAACACCAGGTATGCATGTATCTGCGCCTCTGTTAATATGTTTAATTTCCCCTTTCCATTATTTTCATCATAGCCGTTAAAATTAAAAAAAAAAGGAAGGGTGGGAATTTTGGAGAAGGAGGGGGGAAGCGTATTTTAGACAGAACCTTCAAGGCAAAATGTATAGAAGGAAACCACAGCAAAAAAATAAATAAATTAACAAATAAGAAAACAATTCAGAAGTCAGTGCAAGAACACACAGTGGCCATCTTCAACCAGTTCAAAATTACAAAGGGATTGGGGGAAAAAACAACAATGACTTATGACAGTTTCATTAATCAAGGAGAGAAGCAACCTGGAACTAAGGAGAAACTTCCTGACAGTGAGAACAATTAACCAGCGGAACAACCTGCCTCCAGAAGCGGTAAATGCTCCAACACTGGAAGTTTTTAAGAAGAGACTGGACAGCCATTTGTCCGAAATGGTGTAGGGTTTCCTGCCTGAGCAGGGGGTTGGACTTGATGACCTCCAAGGTCCCTTCTAACTTTATTATTATTATTATTATTATTATATTATTACTTACAACCGTTGCAGCATCCCCCAAGGGTCACGTGAACAAAAACCCAGACGCCTGGGAACGGGCTCATACCTACGACAGCCGTGGTGTCTCCGGGGGTCACACGGTCCCGTTTTTGCAACCTTCTGACTGGCAAAACCAAGGGGGGAGGAAAGCTGGATTCATTTAACAACCGTGTTACTAACTGAAACGCCCGTGGCAGGAAAAATCGCAAAATGGGGGAACCGAAACCCACTTGACGAGGGTCTCGCCCGGCGAGGGACATGTCGGGCTGCGCTGTGGACGTTAAGCCGAGGACCGCCGGTGTCCCAGAGTGACTCACCTTTGATCCGTGGGATGGTTTGGACTTCTTAGGATCAGAGAAGGCCGAGAGGGGGATGGTAGGAAGCATGGGGTAGTCGGGGCTCGGCCTGGAGACGGCTTCTGCACCTTCCGGCATGACCATCACCTGCAAAGAGAGCAAGCGGTTATCGACCTTGGAAGTTCTGCTTCTCACCAGGCAAGATCTAGGACAGGGGTGGGCAACCGTGGCTCTTTTTTGACTCGTGGACTTCAACTCCCAGAATTCCTCAGCCAGCTATGCTGAGGTTTCCAAGCTGAGCCAGGCTGGCTGAGGAATTCTGGGAGTTGAAGTCCAGGAGCCATGAGGGGGCCATAGTTCCCCCATGCTGGCTCAGGAATTCTGGGAGTTGAAGTCCACAAGTGATAAAAGGGTTCCTTGTGCTGGCTGGGGAATTCTGGGAGTTGAAGTCCACCAGTCATAAAAGGATCATCGTTCCCCCATGCTGGGAGGAGAATTCTGGGAGTTGAAGTCCACGAGCCATGAGGGGGCCCTAGTTCCCCCATGCTGGCTGAGGAATTCTGGGAGTTGAAGTCCATGAGTCATGAAGGGGACCATAGTTCCCCCATGCTGGCTCAGGAATTCTGAGAGGAAGTCCATGAGTCATAAAAGAGCCAAGGTTGCCTACCCCTGGTCTAGACTAGAGTAAGGGGTTCCCAAACTTGGCCACATTCAGACTGGTGGACTCCCAACTCCCAGAATCCCCCAGCCAGCCAACTACGACACACGGAGTTATTATTAATAATAATAATTATTAAAAGGCCAGGGTGTCAAACGTATCTTCGAGGTCCCGTGCCCAGACAAAAGACACCTCCTTTGAAGATGGAAAACTTGATAGACAGAAAGAAAAAAAAAACCTCACCAAACCATTTTCGTTCTCCTAGTCCAGGGGTAGGCAACCTTGGCTCTTTTATGACTTGTGGACTTCAACTCCCAGAATTCCTGAACCAAGGAGTTGAAGTCCACGAGTCATATAATAGTAGTAAAGTAAAGTTGGAAGGGGTCTTGGAGGTCATCTAGTCCAATCCCCTGCTCAGGCAGGAAACCCTACACCATTTCAGACAAATGGCTGTCCAGTCTCTTCTTAAAAACTTCCAGTGTTGGAGCATTTACTGCTTCTGGAGGCAGGTTGTTCCCCTGGTTAATTGTTCTGTCAGGAAGTTTCTCCTTAGTTCTAGGTTGCTTCTCTCCTTGATGAGTTCCCATCTGTTGCTTCTTGTCTTGCCTTCAGGCGCTTTGGAGAATAGCTTGACTCCCTCTTCTTTAGGGCAGCCCCTGAGATACTGGAAGGCTGCTATCCTGTCCCCCCTCGTCCTTCTCTTCATTAAAGTAGACACACCCAATTCCAGCAACTGTTCCTTATATGTTTTGGCCTCCAGTCCCCTGATCCTTTTTGTTGCTCTTCTCTGCACTCTTTCTAGAGTCTCAGCATCTTTTTTACATCGTGGTGACCAAAACTGGATGCAGGATTCCAAGTGTGGCCTTACCAAGGCCTTGTAAAGTGGTATTAACACTTCACGTGATCTATAAAGTGGTATTAACACTTCACGTGATCTTGATTCTATCCCTCTGTTAATGCAGCCTAGCACTGTGTTGGCCTTTTTGGCAGCTGCAGCACACGGCCGGCTCGTAAAAGAGCTCATAAAAGAGCCAAGGTTGCCTGCCCCTGCCCTAGTCCCTAGGAAGGGCTGCGCTCCTTAATTACTCACCCCTCCGGCTTTGATGAGTTTGTGACGGAATTCCTTGGTGGGGTTATTAAAAGTCAGCTTCTCGCACCGCAAATGGTTAACTGGGGGGTTTCCTTCAAGGTTTAAGAAAAGGTCATAGGTGAAGCAAACTTTTTTCGGTTCCTCCTAAAAGGAGAGGGGAAAAAAAACAACAACTCTCAAAAGATTGCAATTGCGTCTCCGTGTTCGGACGACTAGAGCAGCAAAATGAGAAGAACTGAGTGTGAACAGGTAAATTCTCTCCAAACTCAACATCACCGTTGGCCAATCCTTCTGCGGTGGAGGTGGAGGCCCTGTGAGAGCAGGGTCAAAGTACAGGATAGGATCATTCCGATCTAAACAAAAATCTTGGCTAGAATATGGCAAAATCCTGTGTTGTTGGGCTCAGGCTGATATGTACGGGAGCAGACCTGCTATCACTTTATACAGTAGTAGCCAAAATTGTGGAAACCTTTTGGGAAAAGTGTATTTTTGAGGTTGTATGGCTAATAACACCACTTTTTTTGGGGGGGGGGAGTAGTACCATAAAATTATAATAAAGATAATTTAATCAAGAATGTGATGCAACAAAGTTTGTTCAATGATCTGTACTGCATTCTATGACAAGTGATAGTCAAATAACCAGAAAAAGGAAGCACAACTGGCTTAGGTTGATCTCAGGCAGCTTTCCTTCGTCTGATGGTAGCCAATGAGCGTGAGCATTTAGAGAGCCAATCAGGGGTCATCTTCTTTTGGCCATGAGCCAATTAGATCACAGTAGGATTCAGTGATTGATGTCCTGTATCAAAGTTGAGGACATTTGTCAGTACGTTACGGGATCGCTATCAAGTTTTTTTTTTGTGTTCTTTCATTTAGTGAGCTTGTAAAATTAAAGCGATGGTGCAAAGTACCATGGTATAATGAAATGGGATAGGGTTTCCTGCCTGAGCAGGGGGTTGGACTAGATGACCTCCAAGGTCTCTTCCAACTTTATTATTATTATTATTATTATTATTATTATTATTATTATTACTACTACTACTACTATTGAGGATCATTGCACAGTCAGCCAGATGTTCAGACTGGATTTGGCATTTTCTCTACCTAGCGAGTCCTTACCCAGGACCTGGGATAGGCAGATGTGGATGTTTGATGGTATCACAGATCTCGTCGCAGGATGGAAGCAGTTCCTAATAAGGCCGCCTTTTGCAATTGACTAATAGCGAATTTGTCAATGCCAATGGTGTTCAAGTGGTGCTCCAGTTGTTTTGGGATTGCACCCAAGGAGCCTATGACTATTGGTACTACCCTTGCTTGCTTTTGCCACAGTCTTCTATTTCTATTTGTAGGTCTTTGTATTTTGTTATCTTCTCCAGTTCTTTCTCTTCTATTCTGCTATCTCCAGGCACTGCCACATCCACTATCCAGACTTTTTTGTCTTTCTTATCGACGATTGTTAAGTCTGGGGTGTTATGTTGCAGGTGCTTGTCTGTTTGAATTCTGAAGTCCCAGAGCAGTTTAATTTTATCATTTTCTATGACTTTCTCTATTTTATGATCCCACCAGTTTTTGCTTACAGGCAAATGCTATTTTTTGCAGATCTTCCAATGCACCATTGTTGCTACTTTGTCATGCCGCTGCTTGTAGTCAGTCTGTGCGATCTTCTTGCAGCAGCTTACCAGGTGGTCCACTGTTTCTTCAGCTTCTTTGCATAGGCAGCACTTACTGTCTGTTGCTGTCTTCTCAATTTTGACTTTATATGCATTTGTCCTTAAGGCTTGTTCTTGTGCAGCCAGAATTAGTCCCTCGGTCTCTTTCTTCAATTTTCCTGCTCTTAGCCATTGCCAGGTCTTGTTAATATCTGCTTTCCCAGCTATTTTTTTCATGTATTGGCCATGTAGTGCTTTGTCTTCCCATGCCTCTATTCTGTTCGTCATTTGGTCCTTCTTGTAGGCCAGTTTGGTCTCTCCAGTAGTTAGTAAGCCTTCCTGATATACTAATTTCAGTGCATCTTCATCATTGTTCTTCAGATATTCTTCCAAAGCCATTTTTTCTTCTTCAACCATCTGATGTACTTGTAGCATTCCACGCCTACCTATTTGCCTTGGTAGATAAAGTCTGTCAATATCACTGCATGGACGAAGGGCATGATTCATTGTCATTATTTTTCTGGTCTTCCTATCCATTGCTTTTATTATTATTATGAGTTGACCGGTCACCCAGAAAGCCATGTAAAATAGTATTATTAAGTGAACGAGGCTACAGTTATAAAGAAATTAGAAGAAAAATGGGTAGAAACAACCAAACGTGACATTTCTACTGAACACTTTCTCCCAAAAGGTTTCCACAATTTTGGCCGCCCCTGTAGCTGACATGGTTGGGTGGTCTTCAAAACGGCTCAGTTTTTTTTATTTTATTTTAAAAAAAAAAACTAGTTTGCCCAAAGCATTTTAGACGTTGAGCGTCGATGTGAAGGGCTCGACAATTTCCCCAGAGGCAGGGTAATGAGTTTGGGGTGAGGAAGAATTATCTGCTAGGAGGTGGGGAAGGTGGTGTGTGTAGATCAGAACTGGAGATGCCTAAACATACATACTTATTACAGTCTTTTTTTCTGTTCACTGACTTGGATTTTTCTTAGAAGCCCCCCTCCCCGCAAAAAAAAACCCTCCAGGAAGGTGAAATTGCCGCAGAAGGAAACGAAACGCAGGCAGGGAGGAAGGAAGGACAGCGCTGGAGAATAAAAAAACGATACCTTGTTTTTGAAGTAGACCTCAATGGGCATAATGAAGCCCGCGTAGCCGGACTCCTCCACTTTGTAAGGGGGCTCTTTGCAAACTGGGGGGGGGGAGGAAAATAAAAAGGAGCATTAACAAGACTTCCCACGCAGCAGCAGCAGCAGAGCAGCCTCTGTAAACCAGGCCAGGGACGAGAATTAAAACAGGGTGACCTACGGCTCCGCTACCCATAATACGACCTGCAGGCAGGTTTCAACCTCCCCACAATCACGGGGTCAAAGGGATCCCCTTTTGCACGACCTTCTGACAACGGTGGCCAGGTAGGGCGTAAAATGGGGCAAAGCTCACCTAAACCAGTGGTTCTCAACCTTTTTAATGCCGCGACCCCCCAACCGGTCGTAAGTCGAGGACTAAACCAACCGGTCGTAAGTCGAGGACTTTCCCTGCCCGGGAACGCCGTGCATGCGTGGTGCCGCCCCCTGGCGTAGCTGGTGTAGCTGGCAAGCAGCAGAGACGGAGCAGGCTGACCACCGGCTGGGCCACCAGCTGGCCCAGCCCAAGGGAGGTAAGGCACCCGCTGGAAAAGGGGAAAAAAATGGCGGACAGCCTTGCTTGGCGACCCCCGTGAAATGGTCGATCGACCCCAAATGGGGTTGCGACCCACAGGTTGAGAAGCGCTGACCTAAACAATTGTTTCACTCCGCAACATAAATTTGGGGCTCCATTTGGTCGTTAAGTCGGGGACTGCCTGTACTTTGACATGAGCCGAGGTGGCGCAGCAGTTAGCGTGCAAGTACTGCAGGCCACTTTAGCTGACTGTGTTCAGCAGGTCAGCGGTTCAAATCTCACCGGCTCAAGGTTGACTCAGCCTTCCATCCTTCTGGGGTAGGTCAAATGAGGACCCAGATTGTTGGGGGCAATGTAAATATATATATATATATATATATATATATATATATATACACACACACACACACACACACACACACACACACACATTGCTTACTGGTGTACACCGCTTAGAGAGTGCTTGCACTTAAAGCAGTATATAAGTCTCATAAATAAATAAATAAATACATAAATACTTCCCAACCTGGCCAACCACAGGCTACCCAAGCAGCCCACAAGAGCATCCCTCTGCCCAGAGACCGGGTCGCCAACGTGCCTCTTGGTCCAAGGTACACCCCCTGCCCGGCCCGGCGCACCCGCCCGCCCGCCCGCCCGGAGGCCCACTCACCACGTTTGGGTTTAGGGAAGCTCTGATGGAGGCGGAAGACCACCCTCTCCACAAAGTGCTGGATTTCAAACTGCTCCGGGCCGCGTACAAACACCATCCAGTCGTGGGTGAACCCCTCCGTGGTGGGCTTCTTCCGCAGCTGGGCACGGTGTCCGAGCTCCAACTTCACCTGGACTGTACACTAGGAAAGGGGGAGGGGATGTGTGCAAGGGGAGGGAGGGGCAGAGAAAGAGGAGGAGGAGGAGGAGGAAGGCAGAAACAGCCTGTTAGTCAAGTAGACCTAGCTGGTGAGCGGCGACGGTCGCTGCTCAAAAGAAAAAGTTACGCCAATTGTCGAAAATTCAGGCCAGACAACCGCAGGAGAAATGTTTTGATCCCTTTGTTTAGAACTAGCTGGGAACTCTGCGGCTCCTAAGAAGATATTCATTTGGAAAAACTGATGTGGAACCTAAACCTGCAGGATCTAGGACAGCGGTTCTCAGCCTGTGGGTCGGGACCCCATTTGGGGTCAAACGACCATTTCACGGGGGTTGCCAAACAACGCAGTCCACCATTTTTCCCCCCCTTTTCCTTGGCTGTGCTACTCCCTTTTATTCTGTTGGCTTTGGAAAGCCAATAAAATAGACTCTCTTGAATAGAGTCTAATTCTATTGGCTTTCCAAGGCCAATAGGAATTGTCCAGGCTGTCTCTGCCCTGCTGAGCCCGCCAAAAGTCCCATTCTGCAAACGGTGCTGCCCCAGTTGAGTAGTCCTCGACTTATGACCGGTTGAGTAGTCCTCAACTTATGACCGGTGGGGGGGGTGTCGCAGCATTAAAAAGGTTGAGAACCACTGCTCTAGGAGGTCCTCCCCAGATGGGCTCACGACGATTGGAAACATAAAAACGCACCGTGCATTTAATTTTTCACACACGACCCGTGGATCAGCTGAAGGCAAATTGCTCCACCCAGATTGTAGGTCAACGTCTATGCGCTAGCCTCTTCCAACTGCGGGCCAGGGCTTACCACATAAATATAGGGTGATGTTTACAAGCACACCCACCCACACCTACACCCCACGTTGTTTGGAGGCAAAGGTGAGCCCTGAATTTTCTTAAGCTATTCTAGCATTTAGGCCAGTGGTTCTCCACCTGTGGGTCAGGACCCCATTTGGGGTCGAACGACCATTTCACGGGGGTCGCCAAACAACGCAGTCCACCATTTTTTTTCCCCCTTTTCCTTAGCTGTGCTACTCCCTTTTATTCTGTTGGCTTTTGAAAGCCAATAGAATAGACTCTCTTGAATAGAGTCTAATTCTAACGGCTTTCAAAAGCCAATAGGAATGGTCCAGGCTGTCTCTGCCCTGCTGAGCCCGCCAAAAGTCCCATTCTGCAAACAGTGCTGTACCAGTTGAGTGGTTCTCGACTTACGACCGGTTGAGTAGTCCTCGACTTACGACAAGGAGGGTCGCGGCATTAAAAAGGTTGAGAACCACTGATTTAGGGGGAAGGAAGGCCTTTCCAGTTCAGGAAGGTACAAGGGCAGAGCAAAGCAGCTGAAAAAAGGAAAGACAAGACGCATATTTTGCCTTTCCAGTTATTAGCCTTTTCTGGCATTTTGGGGGTACGTTATTAAGTGTCTGCAGGAATGAAGGGACTGGCCTGGAGCAGACAGCACGAGGGCCCTTTGCAGCTTTTTAGGCCCCGGAAAATTTCACCAAGGGCCTGAGAAAAAAGATGACAGAATAATAGAATAACCAAGTTGGAAGGAGGAGATCCTATAGCAGGGCTAGGCAACCTTGGCTCTTTTATGACTGGTGGACTTCAACTCCCAGAATTCCTGAGCCAGCCATGCTGAGGGGAAAGGGAGAGGTTGCCAAGCTGAGCCAGGCTGGCTCAGGAATTCTGGGAGTTGAAGTCCACGAGTCACCAAAGAGCCAAGCTTGCCTACCCCTGTCCTATACCATTCTGGACAAATGGATATCCAGTCTCTTCTTGATGGAGCAGCCACAACCTCTAGTGGCCAGCCGTTCCACTGGTTAATTGTTCTCACTGTCAGGACATTTCTCCTTAGTTCTAAGTTGCTTCTCTTCTCCTGGATCAGTTTTAGTCGGTTGCTTTTTGTCCTGCCTTGTTGCTTTAGACTTGCAGGGGTTCTCAACCTTGGCAACTTTAAGACTTGTGGACTTCAACTCCCAGAATTCCTCAGCCAGCTTTGCTGGCTGAGGAATTCTGGGAGTTGAAGTCCACAAGTCTTAAAGTTGCCAAGGTTGAGAACCCCTGCTTTAAGAGAATAGGCTAGCCCCCTCTTCTCTGTTGCAGCCCCTGAGATATGGAAACAACGCTACCCTGTCACTCCTAGTCCTTCTTTTCAAAAAGAAAAGAAAAAAGCGGAGTCACAAAAAAACGTGCCTGTGGGGTTTGGGAGTTGCTGGTCTGTTCAGGAATAATCCCTGTTTCTGAATAGGGCCCGGGACGGGGTTTATATCAGCAGCTGGAGTTCATAAGAGGCCAAATTGCAATTGAACCAACAGATACTGGCTCAATTAATAAGCAGTCCAAGCATCTAGCAGGGGGAAGTTACTAGAACAGATGTACAACTGATGGTTTAAAAGAAAAAAGAAAAAAACCAAGTTAGTCCCTGTGATTGCATGTCTGAAGGCCAGGGTCTGTTTTATATCCACGGTGGGCCTTTCGCTGTAAAGCCATCCGTCTGGTTTTTGGGCTCCCCGTGGACACCCTAATTTTGGATTTCCAACAAAAGAATTGGGTAAGATGTTTCAATTCTTACAAACATCCACACGACAGATCTAGAGATGCTCAAGGTTTGAATGCTGACGCAACCTTTCCCATGTTTTGCAGGTCAGATGCCGCGAGGGGTTATAAAAGTTGAAAGGAAGAGCACAAACCCAATCAATACATAACTAAACAGCTTCCTTACTACATTCATCTCTCCCCATGGCCAACCTTACTAGTCTTGGGTTAGGTTTTTGCAATGTGCTAATTTGCTACGATAGGTAAACTCGGTGCTGCTTATAAGTTACTATTTACAGCTTACCACAGGGGCGCACATTGCAATTATATATAGTTTACATCTACGAGAGTCGTCTGCTCCCCATCTTAAGAATAATAGTAAAGTTGGAAGGGACCTTGGAGGTCATCTAGTCCAACCCCCTGCTCAGGCAGGAAACCCTATACCATTTCAGACAAATGGCTGTCCAGTCTCTTCTTAAAAGCTTCCAGTGTTGGAGCATTCACCGCTTCTGGAGGCGGGTGGTTCCACTGGTTAATTGTTCTAACCGTCAGGAAGTTTCTCCTTAATTCTAGGTTGCTTCTCTCCTTGATCAGTTTCCATCCGGTGCTTCTTGTCCTGCCTTCAGGCGCCTTGGAGGATAGCTTGACTCCCTCTTCTTTGGAGCAGCCCCTGAGATATTGGAACACTGCTATCATGTCCCCCCTCGTCCTTCTCTTTGTTAAACTAGACAGACCCAATTCCAGCAACCATTCCTTATATGCTTTAGCCTCGAGTCCCCTAATCTTGCTTATTTAGTGACCGTTTTAAGGTACAGCTCTGAACGAGAAAATGTAGCTGCGGCCATTGTAGTGTTCCCCCAGGGCAGGGGTCGGCAACCTTGGCTCTTTTGTGACTTGTGGACTTCAACTCCCAGAATTCCTGAGCCAGCATAGCTGGGAGTTGAAGTCCACGAATCACAAAAGAGCCAAGCTTGCATACCCCTGCCCCAGGGTCACGTGATTGCAATTTAGGCAGTTGGCAACCAGCTGGCAATGGCAAAGCTGCAATTATCCCACAACCACCATTTGTAACTTCCACCACGCAGGAGATTGCAAATGGCAACCTGACAGTGAGAACAATTAACCAGTGGAACAACCTGCCTCCAGAAGCGGTGAATGCTCCAACACTGGAAGTTTTTAAGAAGAGACTGCACAGCCATTTGTCCGAAATGGTATAGGGTTTCCTGCCTAAGCAGGGGGTTGGTCTAGATGACCTCCAAGGACCCTTCCATCTCTATTATTATTATTATAACCAGGCGGGTGTGGGAGACTGCAACCGCACGGGACTCACCTCATCATGGCAACTGTGGTAGTAACGTAGTTCTACTACAGCTCAACTCAAAACAGATAATTGAGTGACTGTTCAAAGTCACAACGGGCTGAAAAACGTTACTTATGACCATCTTTCATAGCTATGACCGTCGCAACCTCCCCAGGATCACGTGACCAAAATTCAAAGGCTTGGCAATTGGCGTGAATTTGCCACCTTGTGACGAGCCAAGTCAACAGGGGAAGCTGGCTTCGCTTAACCACCGTGTTACTGGTTTATCGCCTGCGGAGATTCACGTAACAACTGTGTCAAGCAAAGTCGTAAAATGGGGCAACTCTCACAAACGTCCCACTTAGCAACAGAAACGCTGGGCTCAATTGCGGACGTAAGCCGAGGACCACCTTTGTCATCCTTCAATCAATCAATCAGAATAGCAGAGTCGGGGGGCACCTTGGAGGTCATCTAGTCCAACCCCCTGCTGAAGCAGGAGACCCTCTACAATTTCAGACAAGCGGCTGTGCAGTCTCTTCTTGAAAACCTCTCCAGTGATGGAGCGCCCACGATTTCTGGTGGCAAGCCGTTCCACTGGTGAATTCTTCCCACTGTCAAGGAAGCTTCTCCTTAGTTCCAGGTTGCTTCTCTCCTTGATTCGTTTCCACCCGTTGCTTCTTGTCCTGCCTTCAGGCGCTTTGGAGAAGAGCTTGACTCCCTCTTCTTTGGGGCAGCCCCTGAGATACTGGAAGGCTGCTCTCCTGTCCCCCCTCGTCCTTCTTTTCTCCAGACTGGCCATTCCCAGTTCCCGCAGCCGTTCTTTGTGTGTTTTCGTCTCCAGGCCTTTGATCCTCTTAGCTGCTCTTCTCTGCACTTTCTCCAAAGTCTCCAGTGCCTCTGATGCATCAGGTAAGGAAGCCTTGCCTTGCGCCTCGGACACACCCACTCTCACTCACCTTACACACCAGTGTGCCCCACAACTGGCAGATGCATCCTCACTGCTGCCCGCAGATGCATGCCAAAGAAGTGGGGTGGAGGGGGTGGCAGTCCCCCCCAAGTGCAATGGACGGGGAGAGGGCAGCTGCCAGCAATACGAGGGACCCCATTTGGGAGGGAGGGAGGGAAGGAGGGAAAGCCCCTGGCTCCCCCACCCTCCTTCCCCCTGGCCTGAGGAAGCCACGCCCCTTCAGACGGGCAGGCTCCTCCCCCCCGGCTGTCTATCTTCACATTCTCCCCTCCCCCCCGCAATTCAACGGGGATGGCACCCCAGAAATCTCTCCCCGCCCCCTCCCACTCGCATCTCTCCTTCGGATGGGCGGGGGGGGCTAACATGAGGGACTGGGGGGCGTGGCCAGCCGCCCAACCCCGCCCCTCCAGGGGTGTGGGCGTGGCCGCCCGGCGCCCTGTGAAGGCTGGCCCCGCCCATTTCTGAGAGGGGGGGCGAAAGGGCGGGCCGCCTCCTCCTCCTCACCTGGTTGTCCATGGCGGGGACAGGCCGCCTGCCTGGCGGGATGGGGCCTACGGGGCTCGGCCTGGCTCGGCTCCCTTCAGGGCTCGGGGTGCGGCGGCGGCGGCTGCTGCTGCTGCTGCTCCCGCCGCCGCCTCGTCATGGCTCGGCGCCGGGCGGGAGTCGGCCTGGCGTGTCCGCGCCGCGCTGGGCCCGGCCCCCTCCGAGCCTCGCTTCGCCGCCAGCGCTGCTGCTGCTGCTCCTGCCGCCGCCGCCGCCGCCGCCTCCTACACACCGGAACCGGAAACCCCCCCCGCCGCTCCGCTCTGAGACGAGCGGCCTTCCCGGCCAATGGGAGCGCGCGTTCCGGCGCCTCTCCGTCCCGCCAATAGGAGCGGCGCCGAGAGGGCGGGAACAGCGGCGGCCGCCAGCCGGCCAATGGGAGCCGAGGGGGCGCGTTGCCCGGGAGACGGCGGAGCGCTGGGAGAGCCAGCGAGGGAGGGAGGGGAGGGAGGGAGAGGCAAGGAGGGCGGCTAGTCCTCATTGAGGAGCCGCTGCCGGCGGATATGCGCGGGATCCCTCCGCTCCCCCGAGCTGGACTTGCTGCCCCGACCGGATGAGGAGAAGGTGAAGCGAAGACCCTCGGAGGGCAGGACTTTGGGTTGGGGGGGGAGGTGAAGATTTCCCCCCCCCCAGTTTTTACCTTGTGGGGTGGAGTGGGGGTTTTGACTGAGCAATCAGGAGGGGGGGATCTTGGGGATAAGTGGGCTCTGCTACCCATCAGCCCAGCCCACCCTGCAGGGGGGTGGTTGGGTGGAAGACAGGGAGGGCTGGTAAGTCCTCCAGTTACGACCGCCACGGAGCCCGAAATTCAGACGTTAAGTGAGCTTTGCCCCGTTTTACCGCCTTTCTGCCCAGCGTCGTTAAGCGAATCCCTTCGGTTGTTAAGGGAGTGACACGGCCGTTAAGTGAATCTGGCTTCCCCCATTGACTTTGCCTGCAAAAGAGGACACGGCAACCGTCGTAAATAGGAGTCAAGTGGCCAAGCCTCTGAATTTGGATCACGTGACCACAGGGATGCTGCAATGGTCGTCAGTGTGAAAAATGGTCGTAAGTCGCTTTTTTCTGTGCAGTTGTAACTTTGAACAGTCAGTAAATGAACAGTTGCAAGTTGAGGACTGTGTGCACTAAGGTATGTTTCCTGCCTTATTTATTTTTATTTATTTATGAGACTTATATACCGCTTTAAGTGCAAGCACTCTCTAAGCGGTGTACACCAGTAAGCAATGTATATATATATATATTTACATTGCCCCCAACAATCTGGGTCCTCATCTGACCTACCCCGGAAGGATGGAAGGCTGAGTCAACCTTGAGCCGGTGAGATTTGAACCGCTGACCTGCTGAACACAGTCAGCTAAAGTGGCCTGCAGTACTGCACTCTCACTGCTGTGCCACCTCACCTCTTTTATCAAATAGTAATAATAAAAAATAAAGATTAGGACAAATAAATGCAGCTGGTTCTCGACTTACAACACCTCATTTAGTGAACGTTCAGAGTTACAACGGCCCTGTCTTGTTTTTCACACTTAGGACGGTTGCAGCATCCCGCGGGTCACGTGATCCAAATGTTGGACGCTTGGCAACTGACTCGCATTTATGATGTATGCAGGGGTCACATGATCCCCCTTTTTCGACCTTCTGACAACCAGGAAGCCAGGTTCACTTAACGACCGTGTGACTGCAGTGACTCATGTAACAGCCGTGGCAAGGAATGTTGTAAAATGGGGCAAAACCCACTTAGCGACTGTCTTGCTTAGCAGTGGAAATTATGGTCACGTTATTCTCCGGAGCACCCGAGGACAGGACCAGAAACGATGGATGGAAACTGACCAAGGAGAGAAGCAACCTGGAACTGAGGAGGAACTTCCCAACAGTGAGGACAATTAACCAGTGGAACAGCTTGCCACCAGAAATCGTGGGGGCTCCATCAGGGGAGGTTTTTAAGAAGAGACTGGACAGTCACTTATCTGAGATTGTCTAGGACAGTTCTCCCACTTGAGCAGGGGGCTGGACTAGAAGACCTCCAAGGTCCCTTCCAGCTGTATTCTATTCTGTTCCATTCCATTCTATATTCTAGTCTATCTAATTCTGTGTTTTATTCTATATTCTATTCCAGCGGTTCTCAACCTATGGGTCACGACCCCATTTGGGGTCGATCGACCATTTTTCTGGGGTCGCCAAAGGCGGCGATCCGCCATTTTTCGCAGTGCCGTGCATGCGCGCCGCGCATGGGGGCGGCGCTGTACACGCGCACCGCACGTGGGGGGGCGCCACACATGCGCGCCACGCATGGGGGCAGCGCCGTGCACGTGCACCATGCGTGGGGGGGCACCGCGCACGCGCGTCGCGCGTGGGGGGCCGCCCCCATGCGCACGGTGCCGCGCATGCGCAGGGCGCCGCGCATGCGCAGAACATTTGTGTGACGGGGGTCGCCGTCACACAAACGTTGAGAAGCACTGTTCTATTCTATATTGTTATATTCTATATTCTATTCTATATTATTTTCTATATTATTTTCTATATTCTATTATATTCTAATTCTATGTTCTATTTTATATTCTATTATATTATAATTCTATGTTCTATTCTATATTCTATTCCATTCCATCCCATTCTATGTTCTATTCTATTCTTATCATTCTATTCTCTTCTATTCACCATTCCATATTCTATTCTATTCTAATCCTATCCTATTCTCTATTCTATTCTATTCACCATTCCATATTCTATTCTCATCCTATCCTATTCTCTATTCTATTCTTCTATTCTATAACTATCCTATTCTCTCTTCTCTTCCATTCCATTCCATTCTATTCTATATTTCTATTCTGTATTCTATCCTATCCTGTCCCATCCCATTCTATATTCTATTGCTTAGCAGTGGAAATCTTGAACTCAATTGTGATCGTAAGTCGAGGACTAGCTGTCAGGAAGTAGCCAGGTAAGAGAGCTGGAGCCCTCCAGGCAGCTGGGTAGAGTCACCCCCCCACCCATCCACCCAAACACACAGGTCCTGGGGGGGGGGAGACTCAGGTCGGAGAAGCAATGAATACAACCAGCAGCCAAGTGAAAAAAAGAGATTTTTCTTTAATGATTCGACAGAGGATAGATGATGGTGATGCTTCCTTTATCCGCCCTATTTGTAAGAATTCGCTTTGTGCTTCGGCAGGAACGAGAAGTCGGCAGGAACACGGCCCAACAGCATCTCGCTGGGAGAAAGAGGATAAGAAACGTGGATTATGGAGGATGGCGGAATTCCCAGGGCGACACAGCGGGGGGTTTGGCTGGCGCTCTCGTACCCCACAGATGGGGACTGCAGCCGAGAAATTAAAAGACGCTTGCTCCTGGGGAGGAAAGCCATGGCAAATCTAGACAGCACACTAAAAAGCAGAGACATCACCCTGCCAACAAAAGGGTGTATAGTCCAGGCCATGGTTTTCCCAGTTGCAACGTATGGCTGTGAAAGTTGGACCATAAGAAAGGCTGAGCGCCAAAGAATGGAGGCCTTTGAACTCTGGTGCTGGAGAAGACTCCTGCGAGTCCCCTGGACTGCAAGGCGTTCAAACCGGTCAGTCCTAGAAGAGATCAACCCTGACTGCTCTTTAGAAGGCCAGATCCTGAAGTGGAAACTCAAGTCCTTTGGCCACCTAATGAGAAGGAAGGACTCACTGGAGAAGGGCCTAATGCTGGGAAAGATGGAGGGCAAGAGAAGAAGGGGGCGACAGAGAAGGAGGTGGCTGGATGGAGTCCCTGAAGCAGGAGGCGTGAGCTTCAATGGACTCCAGAAGATGGCAGAGGACGGGAAGGCCTGGAGGAACGTTGTCCATGGGGTCGCGAGGGGTCGGACACGACTTCGCAATTAACAACAACGACTCGTACCTGATCTTCACCCAGTCGTCCACGTTCTGACTGGCCATCAAGGTCTCCAAGGGGTCTCGGCCCAGGTAGTAAGGGGGCCTCTCGTTGATGCGCTGCGGCAGACGCTCCAACAAGCCCACCGGGATATACCTGAGCGGGGCCAAAATGAAGAAAACAAACAGCCGTAAATCAGGTGTCCTCCAGGAGGTGCTTTTTTTTTTTTTTTTCAGGAGGCATCTGGACTTTCTTGTTTTTCCTTTGAAGACGTTTCCCTTCTCCTCCCAGAAGCTTCTTCGGCTCTGACTGGATGGTGGGGAAGGGAAGGATTTATATTTATATTCCCTGCCAACGGAGCTGCTCATTTGCCTTCTTTGAAAGGCCACCTGGAGGGTCACCTGAGAGGTGCAAATGGGGGTGGAGCCTCCCTGGAATTGCTGACCACATCACCTATCTGCAGTCTACAACACGGTCCTTTCAGCAGTGCCGTTGTTATTCTCTCCTTCCATCGCACCCTTTTCTCTCTACCTTTCTTTTCTTTCCTTCCCTCTCTAATCTCTCTTTCCTTCCCTTTCTCCATTTTGTTTCTTTCTTGCCTGCTCCCTTTTATTTCCCTCTCCTCTCCTCCCTCCCTTTTTTCTCCTTTCCTTTCTTTCTCTTCCTTCCTTTCTCTTGCATGAGCCCTGCTGGCACAGTGGTTAGAAGAATTGCAGGCGAATTCTGCCCGCTGCCAGCAGTTCGATCCTTCCATCCTTCCGAGGTCAGTAAAATGAGGTGGTTGGGGGCAAGAGGCTGACTAGGCCAGGGGTGTCAAACTCAATTTCATTTGAGGGCCGCATCAGCATTGCGGTTGCCCTCTGGGGGGTGGGGCGTGGGTGTGGCCTACTGGGTGGGCATGGATGGAGTGGGTGTTGCCTACTGGGTGGGCATGGCCAGTTCTACATCGTTCGCGTCAAGGGTGCCTGTAGGGGCCTGGGCAGGAGTGGGACAGATCTGAGGGTCTCTGGCAGAAGGGGGTGGGACCGGGGCAAGCGCCAAGGCAGGGTGCATTTCTTCATTCCCCACAAAGGGTGACCCCTCCCCAGCATGCACCCAGGGGGCGGGGCCAACATGCACCCAGGGGCTGGTTCCTCGCTGTTTCCAGGCGGCCTTGTGGAGCTAAGACGGAATGTGTTTCAGCAGAGATGGCCACCACAAAATTGTACATTGGCTCCCGGCCGGCCTGGGCCAGAGCCAAGGCAGTGGGGACCGTTCCCTCACTGTTTCCAGGATGGCTTCGCGGGCCGCATCCGGCCCCCGGGCCTTGTGTTTGACATGTTTGTTTTAGAGAATAGGATAGGATTAGAATATAAATAGAAGAGAGGAGAAAAGAGAAGAGAATAGATTTAGAATAGAATAG